GTCAGTAAACCATTTACCAGTGGTTTTGGCACTGTGAGCAGGTGCCAGGTCGTGCTGAAAAATGAAATCTTCATCTCCATAAAGCTTTTCAGCAGATGGAAGCATGAAGTGCTCCAAAATCTCCTGATAGCTAGCTGCATTGACCCTGCGCTTGATAAAACACAGTGGACCAACACCAGCAGATGACATGACACCCCAGTGACTGTGGAAACTTGACACTGGACCTCAAGCAATGTGAATTCTGTGTCTCCTCTCTTCCTCCAGACTCTGGGACCTTGATTTCCAAAGGAAATGCAAAATTTACTGTAATCAGAGAACATAACTTTGGACCACTCAGCAGCAGTCCCAGGCGAGATGCTTCTGACGCAGTCTCTTGTTCAAGAGTGGATTGACCTGGGGAATGCGGCACCTGTAGCCCATTTCCTGCACACGCCTGTGCCGGTGGCTCTGGATGTCTCTACTCCAAACTCAGTCCACTGCTTCCGCAGGTCCCCCAAGGTCTGGAATCGGCCCTTCTCCACAATCCTCCTCAGGGTCCGGTCACCTCTTCTCGTTGTGCAGCGTTTTCTGCCACACTTTTCCCTTCCCACAGACTTCCCACTGAGGTGCCTTGATACAGCACTCTGGGAACAGCCTATTCGTTCAGCAATTTCTTTCTGTGTCTCACCCTCTTGCTTGAGGGTGTCAATGATGGCCTTCTGGACAGCAGTCAGGTCAGCAGTCTTACCCATGATTGCAGTTTTGAGTAATGAACAAGGCTGGGAGTTTTTAAAAGCCTCAGGAATCTTTTGCAGGTGTTTAGAGTTACGCTGTTGATTCAGATGGTTAGTTTAATAGCTTGTTTAGAGAAACTTTTCATGATATGCTAATTTTTTGGGACAGGCATTTTGGGTTTTCATGAGCTGTATGCCATAATCATCAGTATTAAAACAATTAAAGACCTGAAATATTTCAGTTGGTGTGTAATGAATCTGAAATATATGAAAGTTTCATTTTTATCATTACATTATGGAAAATAATGACCTTTATCACAATATGCTCATTTTTTTTAGAAGGACCTGTGCATCCATCATCTATCCATCCATACAGCCATCATCCATCCATTTATTTATCCATACATACATACACCATCCATCCATCATCCATCCATCCATTATCCATCCATTATCCATCCATCCATACATCATCAATTCATTTATCTATTCATCCATACATACATCTATCCCTCATCCATCATCATCCATCCATACATCATCCACCATCAATCTATCATCAATCATCCATTTATCCATCATCCATCCATCTATCTCCATTTATCCATTCATCCATCCATCCATTCATCCATCCTCCATCCATCCATCCATCCATGTATCCATCATTCATCTATCTATCTATCTACCATCCATCCATCTGTCCATCTATCCATTATTCATGTATCCATTTATCCATCATCCATCATCCATTCATCATATGTCCATCCATCCATCATCCATCCATCCATCAACTTTACCCACTTCTTCCTTTTTGGGTCGCGGGGATCACTTGTGTCCATATCCAGCTATCACTGTGTGAGAGGCAGGGGACACCATGGACAGGTCTCCAGTCCATCACAGGGACACAGAGACAAACGAGACAACCATCCGCTCTCTCACTCACACCTTTGGACAATTTAGAGTTACTAATCAGCCTAAAAAGAGAGGTTAAAATATTTTGTCCATTTGTTATGATAAAGGCTAAATTAAGTGAAAGCCTTCTTTTAATCAAAACAATAATTTGAATGTAGAAAAATCTCTTACAAAGAAGTCCAGACCATCTGCTTTTCCACATAAAAAGGCAAGTTAATCTGTTCTCAGCCACAAACGCATGTCCTCATTCAGCCATTTTAACAGCTGCATCTGCATGATTAGAAGTTGCATCTCACCATTAGCTTTAACCTGTAATCTGGGAACAGTTAGCTTTTAACTGACTGGGAGGCAGTAAAAGACCCTTTTGCACAGCTGAATCTCTCAAGAAGACAGCCAAATGTTAAACATTTACTAGCAGGTCTACAATTTCGCAAACGCTCCCGAACAACATCTGCTTTAATGTGCTCACAAATTAGGCCACTCTGTGTTTGAATGCTTGACTTACTAAAAGAGAAAGCAGCCTGTAGCTGTCGTATGTGTTTACCAGACAGTCTTTAGACTCACAAGTGTCCACAAGGTAATAATTTAGACCACATACACATTTATACC